GGCGCCGGCGCCGCTCGCGCGCGCTGTCTTCCGTGCGACCCGGGCAGGTGCGTGTGCACGGGCGGCGGGGTGGCGTGTGGAGAAGCGGGGCCCAGCTGCGCGCTGCGCCCGGAGTCCCCGAGGTGGGCACGGGCAGCGCGAGAGGAGGTGTGGACGCTCTGAGCCTGCGGGCCGGCCTTTTTCGAGATGTGTGTTAGTCACTCTTTGAACAGAATGAGGGGCAAGCACCTACACCGGATCACCGCTCTGCTCTGTATCATTCTGTAGACCCTGGAGAACACGTACATGTACAGAGGAACTTTCAACCTCTCTCTGCTTCCTGGGCAAAGATACAGTTCGTGGAGTCTCTCCATCCATGCATTCACTTCAAGATCTTGGATAAGGAGTAGAGGTGCTGGGGATTTAGCTCAGCGGCAAAGTGCCAGCCTGGCAAGCGCAAGGGCGTGAGTTCAATTCCTGGTACGGGAAGAAAAACAAACAAACAAAAAATAAAGAGAAGAAAATATAGGTAATGCAAAGCTAGTAGGTGAAGAGATCTGACAGACCGAGAGATAACGTCTTCATTTGATGTTTTGGAAGTTTTGATTGGTTGTCACCGTCTCGCTGGGTAAAAACCTCAGCATGAAACAAATTTATGAATGATAAAGGATATCATGTGATCCCCTCTGACTTATGTGAATGTCATTATCCGGGTTTGAGCATGGAAGTGTGTATACTATGGCTGAATCTCAAATCCTTGGCTATTTATATAATATGGATGGGAGTTATTTGGAGAACAAAATATTTATAGGGTATGTTTAACCTGTGACAATTTACAGTTGTCCATCATTTATCTTTTTTGGCCGACTGCACATGTGACTGAACATGCCTTTTAAACAATTCTGAAGAAAGGACGAACTGATAACTTTGTAAGCTACAGCTTGTTGGATTATCTGCCTATGACTTGTAAATATGTGTTGCTATTTATCAGTTGCTACATTTGATATTCTGACAGTTCATATAATGCTATATATGGCAAAAAGTTATATTTAGTATTTTCATTCTTTTATTGACCATGCTGTGCTTTTTGGTTACATTTTCATACAATGTAGCAGTGAGTTCTAACTTGGGGAATAAAAATGAAAAATCAGCGAGATTATGACTGGATCATTATGGCAGTCATTATACGGTATTTCTTTGCATACTCTTATTGTAATTCAATTTAAGGAAATTCTGTTCTTTCCCTTTGCATAAATTGCATCAAAGTATTGGCCATTTCACTGAGGTTATTTTAAAGTTTCTTTTTTTATGTTAGTCATCTGAATTTAGATAGTAAGGTAAAGTTGAGCATATTAGTAACTGCTTAAGATACTATAATACTTAATCACAAAACGTCAGTGTATTCATAAGAATTGCCATTAAGATGTCATTTTAATGATGTTATTTAATCATAATTACTTAGTTATAATTGAATTGTATATAGGAAGACGAGAAACGGGCTTTAGGACAGTTTTATTCTTCTCTTTTGAGTAAAACCTCAAATAGTTTTAGTTTTCCTAAATAAGTCATTTTGTCTTCTATGCTATTGTGAAAAAAACTTAAACATAATTCAGTATATTTGTTCAGTACCTACCATATTTCAAGTATTATACAATCTAAGCTGAATATATTATAGTTTATGGTCTCAGTGAACTCAAAATTTTATTTTAGGATGTATTAATTCTGTCTTTCAACATCAGTAGTATAAAAAGGCATCACTACCCTTAGTGGTCAATTTTATTACCCTGTACAGTGTTTCACTTCCCCAGACTTAGAGAAAGAATGCAGAGCTGAGGATCGCGGTTAGTGTGTGTTCACGTATAAGTCTGTTTGTCAGTGGTTAGCCGTGTG